AGATTTTCCATATTTAACTTAATGATAAATTACTCGTAATTTCACTTAGATTAGCCATTTCACTTAGATTGCTAGTAAATTTATTCGGTTGCTGCCAATTCTGCTAAACTGTGTATTCTTTAACACTGTGAAATAGTATTGTCTTTGTTTTGTCTTTTGGTTGAAAGTAATTGTTCGTTGCTGCCAATTCTGCTAAACTGTATATTCTTTAACACTGTGAAATATATTTGTCTTTGTTTTGTTTTGGTTGAAAGTAAATTTGTTCGGTTGCTGCCAATTCTGCTAAACTGTGTATTCTTTAACACTGTGAAATAGTATTTGTCTTTGTTTTGTCTTTTGGTTGAAAGTAAATTTATCCATTCAAGTTTCATTTGCAGAAGAAGAAATAGTTTACTTTCGCAACACGAAACTTAAAATCGCAACGCGAAACCAAAATCGCAACGCGAAATGAAAATCGCAACGACAGGATCGCAACGCGAAAACCAAAATCGCAACGACAAGATCGCAACGCGAAACCAAAATCGCATTGCGATTTTCATTTCGCGTTGCGATTCTTTCGTTGCGATTTTCATTTCGCATTGCGATTCTGTCGTTGCGATTTTCATTTCGCGTTGCGATTTGGTTTCGCGTTGCGATTTTAAGTTTCGTGTTGCGAAAGTAAACTATTTCTTCTTCTGCAAATTGAAACTTGAATGGATTGCATTACTTCAACCAATAGACAAAACAAAGACAAATACTAACTTCAGGGTATTAGTTTGAAACATTTTTCTTTGTATCTGATGCATTTGTGAACTATGATAGAATAATGACTTGGGTGAATACAATGCAAGTTTGAAACATATTGTCTTTGTTTTCACTGTTTAAATATCATGTCTGTTTATTTACTGATTTTTGTATTTAATTATTTAGCGGCCCGATAGAGTGGATGCTTTACGTCGGGTTATGCTTGCACGACGGAGTTCACGCATCAGACAGCGTGCACGTGCTATTAAGTTCTCCGTACACCCAATAGTGCGAAGACACCGCAAGAAGAAGCCCGACTCGCCTGTCATCCCTCAAGAGTCCACTCCTATCGTTGAAGAGGCCCCCCATATCATTCCTCGAGAGTCCCCTCCCACCGTTCAAGAGGCCACTGTCATCATTGAAGAGGTCCCTCCCACCATTCAAGAGCCCGATTCACATGGCGTCATATGTAGGCTTCTTGAGAAACCCTCTGTCGTGCCGGACATGATGGATTCAAGTTGCTCTCGTATGAGTTACCGGCCAGTACCATACCGGTATCTGAAGAGGAGAGGGAAACAACTACCGGACACAATTTTGGATAACACCCTTTGGGCTAAGACCGCAGTTGATTTTTTCTACATGAGCGGAGCAAGGGGTGTTTCACTGACATAGCAAGCTCACCGATGATATTTTTGTTGCTTGAACGGCCTTGGTGGGGCGTATTAGGGGTCGAAGACAATGGCTATTTCGATGGGGGGGTAAGTCTTATATTTTTCTTATATTTCAATTGATTAATTTTTTTTTTAAATTTATGTAAGTCACTAATATATGTCTTTTTTTGTAAAACAGCATATCGATGCGTGGGTGACACGTCTTCTAATAATAAGAAAACTTAAGAAAAATAAAATATACGATATACAATAATGCCGACGTCTTTTCACGCCGTTCACTTGAAGAATGCACGAGATGAATCATTTGATTTGGGCAATGGACAGCTAAACTTATCCTGCATGGTGGGAGGTCGATAAGGTTAGTATTTATTTTAGATTGAGTTTAAAGGTTTTATGAAATAAGTGCGCAAATGAATGAATTATTACTTATGATTGCAGGTGTTTATCCCTGTTTTGGAACGTAAACATTGGATCTCGTCGAGCTTCAGCTCCCATCCCTTAAGACAATAGTGTATGACAGCATGATAAATTACATATCATTGGTTGATTTAAGAGATGTTATTAAGGGATGGAGCTCTCATTTGGCTAAATTCTTGGATGCGATCAATTATTGGACTCGTTCTGGAAACAAGAAGCCAAAGAAGCTCATATTACAGTTATTAGAGACGAGACCGCGCCACAACAAACGAGCGGAGCCAGAGGAGATTGTGGTCCTCTCGTATGCTTGGCGTTGGAGCGTTGACGACGGGAAGCATCAAGTATCTACCTCCCACCGATAGAGATAAAGCTGCAGTAGGCTTGTGGTTTCGGCATTATATGGCTAAATCGATATATACGAGACGCTGCCTACCTGCATCCGCGTTATAAAAATGTCCATAAACAATTGGTAAGTTTATACTTATAAATGAAAATGTTGGTTAATTAACTAGAATTCAATAATTTGCGTAGAAAGTGTTGTTTGAACAAATGTTTGGTTTCTGCAGGTTAATCTCAGAAGTGAACTGCGTGAAAATGATGTCGAGCTGCAAAAGTTGATTCAATAGTTTAATTGATTGTTTTTTGATTGTTTAATTGATTTGTAAAAGTTGATTCAATAGTAGATGATCGGAAATAAGAATTATTGCTTATTTTTTGATTGTTTAATTGATTTGTAAAAGATGATTTGTAAAAGTTGATTTGTGTAATTGATGCGAACATAATTCTTATTTGTGCTTGTTTAATTGATTGAAATGTAATGGTTGATTTGTTGATTTCAATCTGCATTATGTTGAAGGCAAAAATGACTATCGCAATGCGAAATGAAAATCGCAATGCGAAATGAAAATCGCAACGAGAGAATCGCAATGCGAAATGAAAATCGCAATGCGGAAATGAAAATCGCAATGCGTTTATAATTCGCATTGCGATTATCTCGTTGCGATTTCATTTCGCATTGCGATTTTCATTTCGCATTGCGATTCTTTCGTTGCGATTTTCATTTCGCATTGCGATTTTCATTTCGCATTGCGATTTTCATTTCGCATTGCGATTTTCATTTCGCATTGCGATTTTCATTTCGCATTGCGATTTTAATTTCGCATTGCGATTCTGTCGTTGCGATTTTCATTTCGCATTGCGATTTTCATTTCGCATTGCGATTCTCTCGTTGCGATTTTCATTTCGCATTGCGATTTTCATGTTGGGATTTTCATTTCGCGTTGCGATTGTATTTTCCGTGTTGCGATAGTCAAATGCATGCCTAATAGTGATAACAACTGAATAACAAGAGTTGGTTAAGTCAAAATGGTTGGCCTGAGTCATTAATTCAACTGAAATGTTAAAAGTTCACACATAAAATCCACATAATACAACGTTTGCATTTAAAAATCACCTAAGTTAACAGTCTCAAAAGGTGAAGCCAATCGTGATTGGGATTTTAAAGATGATTGCCTTTTGCTTGACACCATATGAGCTTTGGATTTTGATGAGGATCCATATTTTGGTAGAGGAAAAGATGATTTTGATGGCACTGGTGATCCACATGTCAACCTTGTATGACCACTTTCCTTGCACCGACTACATGTCGATCTCTTCTTCTCTTCACCCTTAGACGGTATACGATCGTGACTTTTTGGTCGGCCAGGTAGCCTTCTATCCATGGCTGGTGGCAAAACTGTTTGTAAGTCATCTGGTATGTCCCACTCAGAAGGATGTGGAATAGGGTAGACAATCTCGGCATAAGTCTGTCGATAAACTTCTGTAGTGTAGCAATCCATAGCGTATGCGCTTGAATCATCTTGGTTTAAATGAAGAGCAACTTTTATAACATGGCCACACGGATAACCAGATGTTTGCCATTTCATACAACTACACGTCTTTGCATTTAGATCGACTAGCCCATTTAAGTTATTATCCAGTACTTGAAACAAAGTGTTTGAACATGGTTCAACTCTCCATGACGTTGACTTCACAACATGAACATTATTTGAAACACTTAGGGGCTCTAAATTCAATTTATTTGAAACACGTAGCATTAGAGTTTCATAAGTTAACTTTTGTAAAGACAATTTTAGTTGAAGATTCATGGGTAAAGGCATATATTGTAAAACACCATGAACATTATCCCATGACCCTCCAAAACACAAATCTATCCAAACATGATCAACATTAGATGATTTCATGGTTGTAAATTAATTTACTAAACAGACGAGCTGCGAAACTAAAACCTGTTGCCGGATTGGGAAGGATGTCGTTGGATATAGGAACGGATGTCGCCGGAGAGAGTGATAGATGGAGATGGAATGAGTTGCGATTTAGGGATTTAGTTTATGATTTCAGTGTTATATACCCAAAATTTAAGTGTTGTGATTTACAGATTCTCGTTGCGATTTACGGATTATCGTTGCGATTTACAGATTCTCGTTGCGATTTACGGATTATCGTTGCGATTTACGGATACGCGTTGCGATTTACGGATTATCGTTGCGATTTACGGATACGCGTTGCGATTTACGGATACGCATTGCGATTTACGGATACGCGTTGCGATTTACGGATACACGTTGCAGTTTACGGATACGCGTTGCGATTTACGGATACGCGTTGCGATATACGGATACGCATTGCGATTTACCCATACGCGTTGCGATTTACGGATACACGTTGCGATTTACGGATACGCGTTGCGATTTATGTGTTCGCGTTGCGATTTTCATATTCGCGTTGCGATTATGGAAAATCGCAATGCGAATTTGTACTATCGCATCGCGATTTTCAAGAATCGCGTTGCGATTTTGGAAACTGATTTGCGATTCTGGGGATCGCGTTGCGATTTTTATTTCGCGTTGCGATTTTGTTGGTCATTTTGGCAAATCCAAAAAAAGTTGGTTAAAATCGTATATTATAACTTTTTTTTGGTCACTGAGGCGATTCTCTCTTTTAAATATGACCTTAAAAAAATAAAAGCTTAAGTACTAAAATATTATAAAAACTGATAATTTAGATCATAAACGCATAATTTACCCTTTTTATAGGTTGAACAACAATTTTACTGTTTTGGAACATGGATCGAATTGCATATCTGTAATAGTTTCAGAGTTTTAAAGCCCGCCAAAACTCAACCATAGTTGTAATTTTAACTTCGTACCCTCCACCGTAGAAAATGTCTCTCTCCGCCGCCTTTAACTCCCTGAAGTCCTCCAATCTCATCTCATGGAAAACGGTAGGTTCCGTCACTCTCCCAACGTCCGTAACACAATCTCTATTTCCGTTGACTTATACTGTGATCACAGACAGGTAAGCTTCAACAAACCCTAGCGGGATGCATCGAACTGGCGGGGAAAACACTTCACACGGGGAAGGTTTCGAAGGTTAAGGTATTACCGGGATTCGCCGGAGAAGGAAGGAATTTTGAGTTTCAGTCGAAATTGATTCCCGCGTCAATCGATTTTGCTCGAGAATCCCCGTTGTGTACCACTCTTTGCAAAGACGGATACAAGATTCGGACCGTCGAGCATTTGCTTTCGGCTTTGGAAGCTAAAGGCATCGACAACTGCATTATTCAGATTCGAAGTCTCGATCCTGAGGATTCTGAGGTTGAGGTTGGTGCCATAAGTTTTGTTTGGCTATCAAAATTGATTACTTTTGCTTGAGTTTGCAGCTTTATTATTCTTTTTTTTCCTTTTGCAAGAAAAGTGAGTTTGCATATGTTAAAATTGAAATTGCATGTTCTTTTTTAAAAAATAATATTTTACATGGAGCAAATTTATTCAAATTGCTGTTACATTTTTCGTTCATTTGTTCTCGTTCACTTCAAAACAACATTTGAGCAAGCTATAAGTACAAAGCAACAATAGAACAGCTGAAAAGAACCTTTAGAGGCCATATATTGTAGAAATACTATAATGATTATCATAATTTTTTCAGATGTTGATGACGAGGATTTTAACTAACACAGGTTCCTATTTTCGACGGGTCAGCAAGTGCATGGGTTGAGGCAATTGAACAAGTTGGCCGAAAAGAGGCCTTGGATCGATGTGGAAACAATGCAGAAAAATTGGCACCGTATTTGAATGAACCATTGCATGTTTTGAGGAATGATTCTTTTATAGTTGGACTCCCTTCTTCAGAGGTTTGCATAACTTGTGGAATCGATTTCCCGAAGGTAAATTCTTTTTTTCTCTGCTATGCTGATTTTTAACAAAATGGAATTCTTGTTTTTTCTTAATGAAGGGTATCCAAAGATGGCCACATTTAAAAAAAAAGTGGTACATAATGATGTCACATTAATATTGTGCTGCTGTTTTCACTGAACAGAGTAAATCTATCTATATTTCTATTGGGCTATGGTTTTCTGTAAATAATGTTGGGCAGTTGATTCCATTTCTCAGCTAGCTATAGTTCTTTCCTTAACATAGAAATAGTTGCCATTGTTTCTATGCTTCTTTAGCTAAAATCTATGTGAACTACATTCAGGTGGAACATATGCGTGCTGCGGGACTCATTAAAGGGGGATCACTAGACAATGCAATTGTATGTAGGTGAGATGCTAATGCTAAAGTTAAGTCAAGGTGTCTGATCACCCAGTTCCAATGTGTAGTTTCATTTATTCAAACATAATTGCACACGTATGAAGATGATTTTTTACTACATTTACAACAAACTTTGTTTCTTCTTGATCAGTTGATGAGAAGTATGAATTAGGTTGTAATTTTCATGCTGAGCCTCCTAGAGTCTTTGCTAAACAAAGAAAGCTTTGACTTTGTAAGTTTTTTATTAAGCTTTCTATTTTGTAGTATTTTCACCTTGTAATTGTGAAAAGCAAGTAGTTTTTGTGGGTGGCCAATTAGTTATATTATTAGCCTATGAAAGCATAGAACAGAATGCAGCATGCTGTTTATTCTAGGATGACTAAATTGGATGTACGATAAGGAACATGGATGCAATTTGGTTATTGTTTTCCATAAGATCTCAAAGATAAGCTAAAGCAGGCACTTCATTCACTTTAGGTAAATTTACTAATGAATGGTTTCTTGACAAACATTTTGGTGTCTTAGATATTTTATGATGTTTGCATTTGATGTCCGAACATAAGCAGGTCTTGTTGTTCGAAAATCAACAAATCTTGACAAGACTGGCATGTGGTGGGATATTAGTAACCCAGGACAGTTGCTTTTCTTTCTGTTGAATGTAATTTTTTCTTCTGCAGTGCTACTAAAGGATGGCTGAATCCACCACTTCGTTTCCATGATGAACCTTGTCGCCATAAGGTCTTAGATCTTATTGGTGACCTTTCCCTTTTTGCACGATCGGGCAGTCAAGGATTTCCCGTGGCACATATAGTATCTTTCAAGGTTGAGTATTTCCACTCATTCTTCTCCCTCTGATTGGCTACTTTTTTTTATCTGTTTATTATTGATAAATATTCTTCCAAGTAAAATGTGGTTAAAGATGATCTTTTCCATGCACAAAGACAATCTGTGTTCTATGGTCTATAGTAAAATTAATATGATATCAAGCTGCCATTGTGCAAAATTCTGGGGTAAGGCCGGCCGGGGACTAAAGTCTTAAATAATATTGGGTTCAGATTAGTTCAGGCATGGAAGTTGGTCAAATTCGGGACGAGCAAACCCCCTGCCCTGTTGCCAATCGTACTATCATTTCATTTTTTATGAAGATTGATCATTATCTATTATATATGAGAAACACTTAGTTCGGGTTTATGTAGAAATAAGCAAATTTGCATCTGTATCTGAAAGGGTTCTTAATTTCTCTCTCCATTTTGAGGTTGAGAGTCACTATAGGAGAGATTAATGGTTTGGTTGACCGAGTTATGCTGAATAACTAGTTAGTTGGTTTAGTATTCACAAGATAAATGTTGTCAAAATCCTGAATGGTGATGGTAAATATTCTGTGAAATATTTGTTGTAAGCCGGTCTGAGTTCTGGCCTCAAGGTTTTCATGCCCCCATGATGAAGTGGATATGGTCACGGATTGATGTTGGTATTCTGTTGTCATAACTGAAGACATTTAGCTCGAATTCCTTCATGTCTGAACTAAATTCTGAGTTATTTAGAGGGAGATTCAGGGAAATGTCTTATGGTATTCATCTTGTGTTTACATGCTCATTAGTTCTTAACCAAAACTAAATTCTACTCAAAATCTTTGGAAGCCAGTGAAATCTTCATTTATAGACGGGATCGGTAAAACAATTCTGTTTTAAGTTACTGTCTCTCACCATTCTGAATCTACACCAATGGTTGTAACATGGTTTTAAACTCTGAACACGATACAGGGTGGCCATTCACTTAATGCTGATTTAGTACGCCGACTATCGGGAATCAACGTTTAAGGAAGTCAACAGTCTTTCTATTCAAAATTCCTTTAGAAATGTCTGGATCAGAGCTCTGCAACACTCGGTGCCGATGCCGGGAAGTTGGCCGAGGTAAGGTTAAGAAATGCTGCAGTTTCTTACAAGTCCTTGGTTTGAAAATGTTGGTCTGGAACTAAGCTCCCCCAACCCAAGTTTTGATTGCTTTATTTAAACACGTTTTGTTTTGGGGAGCTTACCAACCATTCTTTCGTAAATAGGCTATTCAAAACACATCTCAAAACTGTTGGACGAAATTTCCATATGATTTGGTCTTTTATTATTATCATTATTCCTCGTCATTGACTGCTAGGTAACGTCAACTTCAAAATTATGCAGCTTCAGTTTCTGGAGTCCATGAATGTGATAAAAGCAAATTAAATATAACATGGATATGAATATACTATAATTTTATATAGGGTAAATTACTTATTTGGTATCTAAACTATCAGTTTTGATCCATTTTAGTACCTAAACTTTCAATTGTTTCGAACCCATACCTAAAGTTTAGTTTTTGTTTCATTTTAGTATCCCATTCAAAATTTAATGTTAAGTTTTGAAAAAATTAAAAGTTTAAGTACTAAAACTGACCAAAATTGATAGTTTATGTACTAAATGCATTAAATTTTTAATGGCAAGCTACTAAAATGAAATAAAAACTAAACGTTAGGTATGATTTTAAAAAAAATGAAAGTTTATGTCTTGAAACATGCCAAAATTGGTAGTTTAGGCATTAAATGTGTAATTAGATTATGTCATAATATGCAAAATAAAATATTTCATTTTAAAAAGTATATTTATAAACTTTTTTTTAAAGAAATTATCATGAATGAAGTCGTAAAAAATTTATATTCTATATAATTAAAAATAATATTTATTATTCATTTAATAGAACAGTTTTCTATCTGTTATTAAATGAATTGGTATTTATTTATTTTATAATAGTATTAATTTTATTAATAATTTAAGATTAAAATAAAATTATAAAAATTTATAATGTCTCCTCTATTCTTATCAAATATATGTATATATATAAAATCACAATACAAATGTGTTTTTCTTCTTTCCGCTGACAAAAATACAAAGATATAACTATAAATCGTTCGATTTTCGCCAAATAAAGGATAGTGGTCCTTTTGAGCTGTAATTTATTTGATTATTTAATTTTCTAGTGTATATATATGTATATATATATATATATATATTTGTTAAATATTTAAAAATAAAAATATTTTTAAAACATTAAAATATTAGTGGAAGGGTCATATTAGACTTATTTTTTGAGTTAAAGATCATATTGAGAGAGAAAAATAATATGAATGTCATATTGATTTTTTTTAAAAGTACGGGGACTTATGATGTTTTTTTGTCAAAAGTTAAATACTATTTTTTTAAATGCAAAAGTTAAATATTTTTTTTTGAAATGCAAATGTTAAATACTATTTTTTTTTTGAAATGCAAAAGTTAAATACTAAAATAAAAACGATATGGTGAATTCGGAAAAATAAAGAATACAAGCCGTAGATGGAAAACCGCAGTGTAGAACTTCCCAAAGAGGCTGTTTCAAGTTTCAACGAACAAAAACAAAACAAGGAATGGTTTTTTACCATCTAACAGTCAACAGCTCTAAAGTCTAAAGTCCAAAGACTAAACTCGAAGCCTCTCTCTTCACCCGAAAACATTCCTCTCTATAGTTTTCCACAACTTTCCATTCAGAATTTCCTTTCCCCTTCCTTTCTTTCAACAAAAGGAGAAGAAAAATTAGTTAAATTATGTTCAATTTCTCTATCTAAAGCCCCAGAGATTCCCTACAATTAGAGAGAGAAAACCCGCATCGAAATTCCCACATGTCTTCCCCATCTTTAGCCGGAACGACTTCCGCTACGTCGGCGAATGACCCTCACGCGCCTCTCCTCCGCTCCCGCCAGCCCGATGCCCCCGCGGCTCGTCCTGCCTCACTGGCGCTTATGTTGGGGCGGGTCACGGGGCGTCGTGGCGCCTCCGTGCTGGTGAGGGAGACGGCGGCACGTGAGCTGGAGGAGAGACGAGCGGACTGGGGGTACTCGAAGCCGGTGGTGGCTTTGGATATGTTGTGGAACACGGCGTTCGTGGTGGTGTCGGTTGTGATGCTGATCTGTACGGTGGATGAGAGGCCTAACACGCCTATTAGACTGTGGATATGTGGGTACGCTTTGCAGTGCTTGGTGCATATTGTTTTGGTTTGGTTGGAGTACAGGAGAAGAAACACTAGAAGAACATCTGCTAGGGATGAGGAGAGAGGAGATACTACTGCTGCTGCAGGAGATGCTAATGATAGTGAAGATGAATTAGGTGGAACTGGTTCAAATCAATCAAGGTCAGTTTTTTTACTATAGTTTGACTTAAAATTTCATGCGCGTCTTATTCTTTTAAGCTAAAGTCAATCTGGTTTTTTTAGTGTTGAATTTGATGTTTTTGAGTGTTATTTATTTGTTTAGTTGAATTTGGATATGGATTCAGGCCTATCTTTTTAACCAAATTTGTATTGGAGCATGATTTTTATGCTTTTTAAGTAATAGACTACTGGTGAAAGCATTGTTTCTTTTGGTGCTAAATTGCACGAGGGTTCAAGCTCAATTGGGATTTTATTGGTTTTTGAGCTGAATTGGATGAGGGCGAGCTTGATAGTTATAGTTATTCTCAGGGAATTTGAAGGTTTTATTTTGGTTTTGTCATTTGTCCCAGTAATGGCACTTTTTGTGTGTTCGCGGGAAAATAGTTGGTTGAATTACCATTATCCTTTTAGTGCTGCTTTCAAGGTTAGCGGAATTTCCGAACACTATGGAATATATGATATATCTGAGTGGGTCAAATTGGTCCACTTTAGGCACTCGAATACTACCATGACTCAAATACAAAAACCAGAACCCTTTCCCTTTTATGTAAGATGCTGAACACCGAGAAAATGATTTACGGCATTCATTTGGGTTATTGACCAAATGGTTGAACATGATTTTCGAAGCAGGTAACAGATTGATAGAAATCGATGACCTAAATGTAGAATTCCCTTTCAAGACGTGAGTGCCAAGTCCAGATTGTCCGAACTGGGTTGATGTGTTACTCGTTGTACCAACTGATTTACTGACTATATAGTAGTGTTTGGTAGTTATTTATTTTGGTTATCGTATAATCCAATTGGCCGAGATGTACGAATTGTTACCATGCTATCATTTGAGTGAAACTCTTCTTGTATTTCCATCTTGATTTTGCATTTCTTTTCTGTTCTAGAGACCATGGTGTAGGATATATATTTTTTTTTGATAGAAGTAGGATATTGGAATTATTATTCTCATACTGAGTTGATGGTTAATGGGCAGTGTAACCAAACGATGTGAATCAGTGAATACCATGGCATCATTTGTGTGGTGGATAGTGGGCTTCTATTGGGTAGTTTCTGGTGGTGACATCCTTCTTCGAAGTGCGCCACGTTTATACTGGTATGCCTTTAACCAATCTTTTTATTTGCAAGCAACTTATTTGTCAGTTTCGACATATACATTATCATTAGTAGCATATATCGACTTTGATGTGATGGAGACCAGAAATTTGTACAGGAGTTTTCTAAATCCGTTTACCAATTTATTGAAAAATGCAACCATTCCAGATTTTCAAATATAGTTTCAATGTTTTGGCTTTTTCTTGTATTTTACTGTTAGTGAAGTGTACTACGGTGTAATCAAGAGCAACTTCAGGATCTCTATCTTTTCTATCTGCAGGTTGGCTTTGGTTTTTCTGGCATTTGACGTGTTATTTGCGGTCTTTTGTGTTGTTTTGGCATGTTTGATTGGGATTGCTTTATGTTGCTGCTTGCCATGCATCATTGCAATTCTTTATGCTGTTGTGGGGCAGGTATAAAAACGACACTTAATAGTTACACCGACTCAGAAATTTAAAACAAATTGGTCCATAGCATGATGGCATCTTCATTTCTTTTGCTATTGACTAGGAAGGTGCATCAGAAGCAGATCTTAGCATCCTTCTTAACTATAAATATCAGATTATAAACAATGGTGAGAAGACTTGCGTAGGGGCAGGAAAAATGGTTCCCACAGAAACAAGCAGTGGATATTTGGCAAATGAGCGCATACTCTTACCCGAGGATGCAGTAAGTTACAACTTTATCATGGAATTACTGTATTTTTCGCAGTTATGTTGATCCGTCACAATATTGTTGCCTCATTCCCTTCCTGTCTTGCACATTCATTCTTTTAAGGCTACTCCACGGCAAACAATCATGCCTCGCAATAATTTGATGAGTGATCAGACGAGCTTCTTAGATTTCGTTGTGTCAAGCTCTGGTTTCATAGCAGAATTGTGGATAGCCTTGTTTTGGGGGGGGGGGGGGGGGTTAGAGCTCCACTTGGTTGCTGGTGCCATTTGTGTTTTGACTACGAGCATCCAATGTGGGTTATGGCTTGAAGGTGAAGGGTAGGGTTTTGGTAGGCAGCCACTGTGTCCCTCTAGTTGATCGGTTGAGCCATTGAGTCTAATGCCATTGGTTGAGTTTTGTGCTTTTGTTTTGGATTTCCTTCATGTCAATGCCCATTGGGTCTCTTGTAGGAATGCTGTATATGTTTATGCTCGTACGACGACGGTGATGACCTCCATGCTCTCCCATGCAACCACCATTTTCATTCAACATGCATCGTGAAATGGCTGAAGATGAATGCAACTTGCCCTCTCTGCAAGTACAATATTTTGAAGGGAACCGAACAAGTATGAAAGGACAAAACAGAGACTCGAGCCCCATACGTCGGAATCCAATCCGGTGGTTTATACTTTCTGCATATGTACTGTAGAAAACCAAACCTTGGACAGCAGCAACTCTGGTTAATATCTTAGCCTTTCTTTTCGATTAAGAATGGATTGATTTTTCATGCTTCAAATGTTGTCTGTTGTTGTACTTTGCTTCATTATTGGTAGAATGAGAACTTAATTGCTTAACTCATATATATATATATATATATATATATGAGAAAATAATTTCAGTGACCGAAAATGCCTTATAAGATACGATTTTAACCAATTTTTTTTGGATTTGCGAAAATAATCAACAAATTCGCAACGCGAACTCTAGTTTCGCAACACAGTTTCCAAAATCGCAACGAGAACTTCAGTTTTGTAACACAATTTCTAAAATCGCAACGCGATTATCTAAAATCACAACGCTATTTTCAAATTCGCAACGTGATTTTTCAAAATCGCAACGCGGTTCTTCAAAATCGCAACGCGGTTTTCCAAAATTGCAACGCGATTCTCCAAAAACGCAACGCGGTTCTCCACAATGCGATTTTCAAATTCGCAACTCGGTTCTCTAAAATCGCAATGCGGTTCTCCAAAATCGCAACGCGGTTCTCAAATTCGCAACACGATTCTTCAAAATCGCATTGCGTTGTGAAAATAAACGCGCTTTACGAATTTGACTTATGTGTTGCGAATTTGACTTCTGTGTTGCAAATTTGGAAATTGATTTGCGAAATTGGAGTTCGCATTACGAATTTGTTGGTCATTTTCGCAAATAAAAAAATTTGGTTAAAATCGTATATTATAAGACATTTTCGATCACTGAAATTATTATATATATATATATATAGCTATAAACCTTTTTCATTGTTAATAATGTTATTTCACTATATCCACCTTTCCCAGCTTCTCCTCCTCTTCTAATGCGTCACGGCAGCTATATTACTTTTAAGGTCTAATTCTTAAAATCGTCCCTATACTTTACAAAAATTGAGAATTTTGTACCTCTAATTTATGAAGATTTGATCTTCGTACCTTATGATAACTGAAAATTTGGTTCAATTAGATAATACTATTAAACCTTATCATTATATGAATTACCAAAACTCAGTAGTTCAACAAATCATTAAAAATTATAAGATAATATCTTGTAAAATCTTTCTTAATCATCGAAATATACACACATCCTACCGATACAGTTGTTCGAACGTGAGATATCTAGAGATTATAATGCTCTCTTTTACCGTACTGAAAGAGTAATTTGGTCATTTCACATTAACCACGTCAGTTCCGACGTCCTTTATCCGTTTATCTAATGCCCTAAACTGAAAACTACATAATCCAAATTCTCAAGAATTGATTAATTATTTTTAAAACTAAATATTAAAATTAATTCAGAAGAAAGAAAATTGAAAAATCCGATCCCATTTATTTATTTATTTTAAATAAAAGAGTATATCATCGTTGCTGCGAAAATTTCACCAGATCTGAATTTTCCCTCGGTTTCCATTTATCGATCCAAACAGAAAAACAGAAAACCCTAAAGGACCAAAAGAAGTGAAAAAAAAGAAGGAAGTTCAAAGAAAGCTATGTTCAGATTCGAATTTGAAAAGATTAGGAAACGGATTTGATTTTATCGAAAGATTTTTTCCCCTTCTTTCTTTAATTTTCTGCTATGGCCGACGCGATCTCCGTGATTCCCGCGTCAGTTCTCCGTAATCTTTCAGAAAAGCTGTACGAGAAGCGCAAGAATGCTGCTCTTGAGGTTTTCTTTGCTTTTCTTGTTGCATTTCAGTGGAATTCAATTTCTAAGTGTTTGTTTTTTTTGTTCTACTTGCAATAATCGAGTTGCTTAACCTTTTTGTTATGACGGCTTTGTAGATTGAAGGAATCGTGAAACAGCTGGCGTCGACGGGAGATCATGATAAGATATCGGCGGTGATCAATTTGTTGTCCAAGGAATTTACCTACTCTTCACAATCCAATCACCGTAAGGTTGGTGGACGATGATTAGTCTTGTGAATTTTAAAAAAATGTGCGACTTTTTCCATCCATTTAATTTGTTTGTTTGTTTGGTTTTTTTTTTTTGCTTAGTCTTGTTAAATTCCGGCGTTGTGTTTTGTAGGGAGGACTGATTGGTTTAGCTGCTGCCACTGTTGCCTTGAGTTCCGAAGCTGCCCAACATCTTGAGGTAAGCACTAGTTTGCCTTTAGTAGCTGTCTGTTAACATGTTTAATCTTTTGGAAATATGTAGAAGAATGTTTACCATGGTATTGTTATTCGAGAGACAAGAATTACCTCTCAAGTCTTTCAAAAAAAAAAAGGAAAAAAAAAAGATGACATCTCAAGGTTTAAAGACTTATTCCCTATGATTGTAATGATTTAGGGTTGTTTGCTAATACAAAAGCAATTATTAGTTATAACCTGAAATTAGCTACGGGTTTTTTCATTATCACTTGATAAATTTAGTGATTAATTTGCCCTTGATGCAATCTGCCAGCAACTTGTGCCGCCGGTGCTTAATTCTTTATCTGACCAAGATAGCAGAGTGCGATATTATGCATGTGAAGCTCTATATAACATTGCAAAGGTGTAAGAAGATTGGTTTAGCTATGTTTTCTTGTAATTTCATGTTTTCTTTACTAATAGTGGACTGGATATGCCGTCTTCTTCTGTACAGGTTGTCCGAGGCGATTTTATCATATTCTTTAATCAGATATTTGATGCATTATGCAAGCTATCTGCTGATTCTGATCCCAATGTACAGAGTGCTGCTCACCTTTTAGATAGTCTTGTCAAGGTTAATAATTGCTCTCTCATCTAAATGTTGGCATCTACTTATGTGAAATATGAGAATTTATTGCCCTTCTATTTTTTTACTATGTGAAACAGGATATTGTTACCGAAAGTGACCAGTTTAGGTATGCTTTGTTCCATTCCAAATTTACCTCACAAATCTTGTTTTATCTAGAGATCTCATTTGAACTTTCTGGGTTATATCTTTATAATATCATGTGTATGATTGCTTTGCTTTCAGTATTGAAGAATTTATACCTTTACTAAGAGAGCGTATGAATGTCCTGAATCCCTATGTCCGCCAGTTTTTGGTTGGATGGATAACTGTACTGGATAGTGTCCCAGATATTGACATGTTGGGTTTCCTCCCTGATTTTCTTGATGGTAATAAAATCTTGTGTCTTTTAAACCAATGTACTACTTCCCTAGGAGAAGCTATTTTAATTAATTAGTTCTTGACAACTTTCAGGTTTATTCAATATGTTAAGTGATTCTAGTCGTGAAATACGGCAACAAGCTGATTCAGCACTTTCAGAGTTCCTCCAAGAGATTAAAAACTCCCCAGTAAGATTTCTACTAACATGTTCTTTGACTGTTGGATTATCTCCATGGCCACTTGTCTTGAAGTTTCACAGTTTTTTTATGGGAATAACATGATTGATTACATATACTTTTTACTCAAAATAGGGTTTATTATATATTATTACAAAGATTTCTCATAAAAAGAATTGTTTTGTTCATTTGTAATTTTCCGACTCAAACAGTGCTACTCTTGAAGTCTGTAGATTATGGTCGCATGACTGAAATACTGGTGCAAAGGGCAGCTTCTCCTGATGAATTCACTCGGTTAACAGCTATCAGTTGGGTTAGTAGCATTTGACTCTATGCTTGCATATATGGGAACATTTTTATAGCAGAAAGGAGGAAAATGATCATTGATTCTTTCTTCCGCTTATCAACTTATTTGTTCATACTATTTTTAATTTAATTTTCTCTTTGGACAGATAAACGAGTTTGTAAAACTAGGTGGAGACCAGCTTGTTCCTTACTATGCTGACATACTGGGAGCCATTCTCCCCTGCATATCTGATAAAGAAGAAAAAATTAGAGTGGTAAGTTCATTTCTTTTATTGTATGCTTAATGAATATTAAATAACTTTTTGCAATGTCTTTTAGAAACTCATTTGAGTTCTTTCCTTTATGTGTTTTATTTTAATATTTTTATATTAGGTTGCTCGTGAAACCAATGAGGAACTTTTTTCAATCAAGGCTGATCCAGCAGAGGGTTTTGATGTTGGGGCCGTTCTCTCCATTGCAAGGAGGTATAGTTTTTATTACTTTGGGAAAATGCTTGTTTTGAAATGTTACTAGTAGTCTGCAGTTCCATCAGCATATATGCCCCTTCTGTATATTGAAGAGCTACTGTAAAGTGCTTATAATGGTGTCTTTGTTTTATTTTACTCTTGAAATAACTTCACTGTGCAGTGGTTTTCTAGTAATTACTATTTTCTTTGACTGATCAGGCAACTGGATAGTGAGTGGGAAGCCACTAGGATTGAAGCATTGCACTGGATATCAACCCTTTTAGACAGACATCGTTCTGAGGTGAGGAAGCAGTTATTTGTTATTTTTTATTACATCTGTGTTTTCTCATACTTTGTTTTGTCAATGATCTTACTTGTCAAACACTTCTTTGAATCCCAAATTTGTATTACTGTTTAAGCATTTAAATTCCTTGCAATCTCAAATCTTTTAAAATTATACACAATGAAGATGTCTGCTTTTCATCTTGTTGTTACTTTCTATTTTGTCTTCCTTTTGAGCAAGGAGCGTCTATCACTTTATGCATGTTTGTAGTCCTAGCAAAATTCACTGAAGATGGTGGCTGTTAAAATACAGGTAGATGCTATCATGCTAAGTAAAAGATTTGAATTAAAGTTCTACTAGCCTTTTCTTCATTAATACAACTTGAATCTATAATGGTCCACAATGAGAGATTGATGGCTGCCAAAGTCAAAGCTTTTGACTCCTTTTGGTACATGATATGCATAGCATCTTCGTCTCCTAATTGACCTTTCTTTGGACTATTGTTAGCACTTTTTGTAGTTGTCTGATGCTGCATACCTGGAATCTTTTCATGTATCGAACATACCACATTGCCTGTGTGACGGCATGATAGTTTCAACGTAAATCGAAAGAAAAAGTTTATGACCTCTTGTAAAATTTGTAATTTGCATGATGTATTTATTTGCAGCTTCTGATTCTAATATTACTCAAATATGCATGATTTAATTTTTTTAACCGAATCAGGTCTTGTGCTTTCTAAATGACATATTTGACACCCTTTTGAAAGCTCTATCCGATTCTTCTGATGAGGTATATTTCTGCTTCTGCTTGTGTGTTTCATATTTGACGATTACATTAAGAGATTTTATTGTATTTTTCTTTGTTCTTGTTTTGTATATTTGTATTACTATAATTACATCAGGATGTGCCCTCTATATAATGTTGTTTCCTAGATGAAACTGCGATTGAAACTTCCTAGGCCCTAGCTAACTCAGTTGTACTTATCCTTATAGTCTCTTCAGGAACCTTAAAAAAGAGTTTTGCCTTTGCTAGAGGTTCTCCTACTCCCATGTCTTTTTAAACAGTAGTATTTTGAGGATCATACCCGTGGGAGGATTAAATTTCTACAATTTATACTTCCTAGAAACAGACTAATTGACTAATTAAAGCTTCAGTTGTGAAAGTTGGTTGACCTCCTTCTTACAAGCTCACATGAAAGCAGATTATAAAAATTGAATGAAACTAATTTCTACAATTATCTAAACAATTAACTAAATTGAATTGTAGACTTAACTCGGAAACTAGAATGGAAGTATGGTTGATGAGTGACTTGGATTTATATCATAATTAATTTGGATAATCTTATTTTTGGGCAAACTCATTGATGGCTCTCAAATTATAAGATACCTAGGATTTCTCTCAATAACCTAGACTTCCCACTACAGATTGCAGATCGTCTCACATCCTAATCTGACCCTCCTAGGATAACTGGACCCAAATTCTCATCGAGCTCCCTTCCTAGGACCCACTTCTGCATGCATCTTATCTCTCAGTACTAAAATTGGAGACAATCCATTTCTAATTTCTGTAAATCAGCTAACCCCCTAATTGGATGAAAATGTTGCCTTGCTTTAAAACTGCAAAATTAACTGTTCTCTTGCTTAAATCCTCATGGCACCAGTGTGCCTTTTGCTCTCCAATTTAATTCATTCCAAGGACCTTTTTCCTACAACGTAGGCTTTGATTAGAATTTTTTATATACTAATATGACCTTAATTCAAAATCTAACAAAATAGTATGAACAATGACTTTAAAAATGAAATCTAAACACTATCACAGAAAATGGCCAAAATTAACTAAAATAGTCTGGATTTACCCATGAACAAGCTAGTAGGTCAAAATATATTGCTTTTGGTGAGTTATCATACATGCTTAACTTATTATGCAATTTTGATGTTGCCATCAGGTTGTGCTCCTGGTTCTTGATATTCATGCGTGCATAGCACAAGATCCCCTAAATTTCCGCCAGCTTGTTGTTTTTCTAGTGCATAATTTCCGAGTTGATCATTCTCTGCTGGAGAGGTAATTCTAGGTCCCTCAAGTGCTTTGTTTATTTCTAAATGAAATTTGTTATAAATTTTAAATTTTTTTGTTGAGTTGGGTCCTCATGCAGGCTATATGACCAACTTGTCTTCTATCTTTGTACATGTGTCTCATTGCTTTCTTTTTCAAATCTTTCTCCTTATTCTTAGGCGTGGTGCTTTGATAGTCTGTAGACTTTGTGTTCTCTTGGATGCTGAACGTGTCTATCGTGAGCTATCCACCATACTGGAGGGAGAAGCAAACCTGGATTTTGCCTGCATCATGGTTCAGGTTGTCTTGTATTTAGGGATTCAACTAATGCAATAATGATCTTCTGTTGAAATATAATTTTTTCTTTGTGTTCCAGGCTTTGAATTTGATTCTACTCACTTCTTCTGAGCTATCCAAGTTAAGGGAGCTTTTAAAACAGTCGCATAGTAATGCTGCTGGAAAAGATTTATTTGTTTCTTTGTATGCTTCATGGTGCCATTCACCCATTGCGATCATAAGTCTTTGTTTGTTAGCACAGGTAAGAAACTAAACTCCTTTAATGGCTAGCCAATCCCCCTATTTTCTTGTGATCGGCTGCGGTCCGTCTGCTTTCATTGTTGTTAATCTAGTTTATTTGCTTGATAGACTTACCAGCATGCAAGTTCCGTGATCCAGTCCTTGGTTGAGGAAGATATTAATGCCAAGTTCTTGGTTCAGCTTGATAAACTGATTCGCTTGCTGGAAACTCCCGTCTTCACTTATCTTAGATTGCAGGTGACTTAATCAATGCCAACTGGTGCATGCTGCATCACTTGTCCTTTTAATATCTTTAATATGCTTGAGTTGTAGGAATTGTAATATTGCATGTGTTCTCTTTATTTATGATTATTTTTCTACTTAGAACTCCCCCCTTCCCCATTGCCGCATATCTTATGCAATGAAAGATTTTTTGCAGCTTGCTGCTCATTTTACCATGCCAAAATATATCAGATTTAGTGAATTCCTTAGTTGTAGTTGCATTTGTACTTTTATTATAAGTAATTTCCCCCTATTTTGCATGTTCGTCTTTTAAATTTAGCTGATCCTTTCTTTTTATTTCCAGCTTCTTGAACCAGGAAGGTATACATCGTTGCTGGAAGCGTTGTATGGTCTTTTGATGTTGCTTCCACAGGTATGTATGTGCTACTTTCTTTTCTTGGCACCCCCGTCCCAAGCCTAAAAAATGGGTGTCATTGCAAACAACTTGACTCTTCAAACAGGTCAAACATTTTCTTATACTCCAGCTTCGGTATAGGGATATGGTTGATTGGTTTTAAGGGGACATCTGTATTGAGTTTCTTAGCGACTGTCACAAACTGACTGTGTGCTAGATTTTCATTGTTTAATTATATTGACCCTTTGATTTAACTACAGCAAAGTGCTGCATTCAAGATCTTGCGGACTCGTTTGAAAGCTGTGCCTTCGTACTCCTTCAATGGTGATAAACTCAAACGAGCATCATCATCAGGCAACTCATACAACCAAATTTTACATTGCAGTGGATCCCAAATCACAGAGGATGGTGATATAAGCCAAGATAATGGGAATTCACATGATGGAATTAACTTTGCTTCAAGGCTGCAACAGTTTCAGCAAATGCAGCAACAACACCGCATGCTTGAAAAATCACAGGCACAAGCAAAAGCACGAAAACGTTCCACTTCTTTATCAAAGGTGTGTGAGCTAGTTGGTACATCTTTCTGTTTGCACCGTCTTTTATGGTTTTCCTATATGAGAATCAATTTGTCACCTCTCCCCTTCACCATGCAGGAAGGGTCAGAGGCAGAAGAATCCCAGCGACCCTCAGCATCAGCCTCAAGCATTCCGCCTTCAACATCATATAGACGAGGTCCGGGGTAGTTGCCGATTTATTCACCGGCGCTTTTTGTGGCCTATGAATAGTTCAGGGTCATTTTGTAGATTGATCTCGAGATTGTAGAGCCAGAGGTGTGATACCAAGTATAGCATGTAAAATTGTATATCATGTCAGGCTATTCTATTTTTTCTTCTTCTTTGTAATCTGGATATACTCATGTGGTTCTGTTATTTTTTATATTGAAATCCACATGGATACGAATCAGTATATGTTGAAAAACATTGGAACTAGGCCTGTAAATGAACCGAACGAACACGAACGAGGATGTGTATATGTTTATTTGTTTAATTTTAAACGAATGAACACAAACAATTAAACAATTGAAATTTCTTGTTCATGTTTGTTTATTAATAAATGTAGCTTGTTTGTGTTCGTTCATGTTTCTTTGTTTCATTTATTAAAATGATAAACGAACATAAATTAACATAAATTAATGAACATAAAATTAATTGAGTTTATATTTGAGAAAAGTTTTTTTCTCTCTAAATAATTTTAAAATTTATATTTTCTTTAGTTGGTTTGAGTATTTTTTATTTGTGTTTAAAATTAATTGAGTTTTTAAAATATTAATGAATTTAAGGTTAAAATTTATTAATTTTGATATTTCAAATATGATTGGAGATTGAGCTGAATATAAACGAACAAAATATCAAACGTTCACGAACGAATAAACCCTTTGTTTGTGTTTATTCATTTAATTAAACGAACAAAAAATCTTATTCATGTTTGTTCAAATAAACGAACATAAACGAACTTCCAGCCAAACATTTTGATGACGTTTAGTTCGTTTATAGGCCTAATTGAAACATACAAAGATTTAAACGAATAACAATTTTCCTTTCAAACACCGACACTACTCGATAAGTTATTAAGTTTTAATTTAAATATACATTTCAATTATAAATCTAATCATTCTCATATAATAATTATTATTTTTTGTAGTGGTTTCTTATAATTATAACTGTTGTAATTATTGATATAAAAAGTCCCGTATGAATAGGTAAATGTAATATCACATTTTTTTTATAATTCAAATTGTATCATGAAAGATTATCTAATAAATTAAATATTAATCATTAAAAATAAATTAATTATGAATAGAAACTAAATAGGCGATAATCTCTTTTTATATAAGGAAATACAAGTTAATCTCTTAATACAGTAACCAATTTAAAACTTCTAATTAAATACAAAAGGTATAATAATAAAAGAACCCTTAATTGTTGACTTTTTTTTCAATTGAGCCTTTAAATTCTTTTGTTCGAAAAAACATTTAATTTTTTAAAAATTAAAAGGGCTTAACTGAAAATTATGTCAAATGTTAAGGGATTTTTTTGTTATTATACCAAAATGTTATTTCCTTAATAATTAAAAGTAAAATTAATTACGAAAAAAGAGGAAATTCAAGTATTCAACTGCCCAACAACATGCTTCCAAGTTCATATTTCTCCACAAATTTTTCAATGTAATCACCGCTTAAAACTCCCTCTGTAACAAACCCATTCCCTCTATATATACCAATCGATCAATGATTATTCGTTGAAAGAAAAAAATCCCAATTTGGCTTTCATCTGCTGATTCCATTCACGATTCAATTTCCCTATTTTCATTGCGATTTTTTCGTTGATCTTCAGTGTTTTGATTACAATCTAATGGGATTTGGATCGATCTTCAATCGGAAAAAGAAGCGACGTCCCACGGATTCATCCGCTTCACCACCCGATGTTCCGTCGAAGGAATCGTTGTTAGTCCAATCCCCGATCCGACCTCCTATGGGGAATTTCACCGAAACCCAACTCCGAGAAATCGAGGAAGTGTTCAAGAAGTTCGACGCCAACGGCGACGGCAAGATCTCGGCGTCGGAGCTCGGTTCCATCTTGAAATCACTCGGGCAGCGTCCCTCCGACGAGGAACTCGAGAACATGATCAAGGAACTGGACGTGGACGGCGACGGGTTCATCGATTTCCACGAGTTCATCGAGCTGAACACCAAAGGGATCGACTACGAAGAAATTCTGGAGAACCTGAAGGACGCGTTCTCGGTGTACGATATCGACGGCGACGGTTCGATATCGGCGGAGGAACTCCACGAGGTGCTTCAGAGCCTCGGCGACGAATGCTCGATCGCCGAGTGCAGGAAGATGATAAGCGGCGTGGATAATGACGGGAATGGGATGATTGATTTCGAGGAGTTTAAGGTAATGATGATGGCCGGAGCCACTTTCGGTTCCATTCAAACTAACGAGAGAAATGTTGCCGTCTAAATCAATTCTCCATTGTTTCTTTCTTCCCACTGGTAATTTCCCCCCCTCTGGTTAATTGGTTAGCAGCAGATTTGTTTCTTCTTCTAAATTTCTACTTAAATGGATAATCTTATGGGAATTGTGTATGTTTTAAACTCTTTCTATGTAATTTAATGCTATCTGATTTTGAATTTGATTATAATACGTGAAATTACCCCTAATTTTTTATCATCTATCTCTAGAATATCTGACTATTTATTATGTTCAAAACTCGTTATTTTTTATTTAATTTAGAATACTATCAATTTTTTAATAGAGAATGATGTGTTTGAAACATAATGAATAGTTAGGTAATTATTTTGTAATTTTTAATAATTGAAGGACTTAACAAAGTAATCCTTTATAGTCAGAGGATCATTTTGTAACTCTCGATCTATAATCGAGAACCATTTGTATACTTTACTCTGAATTTTTAAAACATAATCTTATCTATCTTTCACCTGATATTCACTTCGATATAATCCTTCTCCTATTAGAACTTTCTCTTTCAATCCTATTTAAAAAAAAGTATCTAAAAGACGATCAATGCACTCCAATCGAACTCTAATATTCTTCTATACCGAAATATTTAACCACCGTGATCGGATCTTTTCCGATATTTAAACCCGTCATCACCAAAGAAGAGGGGTACACCAATAAAGGTTGATCTGAGTGGAAGGGGCTCTGGTCGCTTAAGCAAGTGATCTCTAGTTTGAGCCCTTGTGGATGCAACAAATTTTATTGGGAGAAGTCTCCACCTACAGTGCCCCATAGTGCCTCGGAGAATTAGTCCCAGGCGAAACATGGGATACCTTGGGATACCAAAAAAAAGAAGAGGGGTACGAATCGAGCGCGTCATAGGTCCAATCTAATGCAAGTCGGTACCTTTGCTGCATTATTGGTTTGGTAGATCCAAATTGAGATTTTTGGAACATGGTCACTTCCATTTTGCCCAGAAATTCTGGGTGTTTATATATATATTGTAAATTCGGTTCAATTAAATGCCACATTGAGACCACAATGATTTGTTTCTCTGATTGATATGTGAGCCATCGGTTCAATTAAATGGCGATTGCTTATAATGGCCAAGTTTATGTCAACGAGTGTTTGATGAAATGCCTGACTGACCCGTAATAGTCGTTCCCGAGAGGGAGATTGTACAAAATGAGCCTTTACGTCTCAATCATTAGCAGTAAGGGTAAAAAAAAAAAGGTGATTTTCCCGTATATTATCGGTGATCGATATTATTATCGATCTAATATCGGTCAGACTATATTTTTTGATCTAACACCCTTAGCAGGAAAACGCGCCCCCTGCACCGCGCTATACGTTGATTTGGCGTCACGTGGAGTATAGCGCTCCCCCTGAACCGCACTATACGCTGACTGGGTTACACGTGGGGTATAGCGCGCCCCCTGATACGCGTTATACGCCACGTAGCGGTATAGCGCGGATCAGGGGCCGCGCTATACGCCGTACCAAAATTATATTTAACGCGGTCCTTGATCCGCGCTATATCTTTTATCTGAATAATTACATATAGCGCGGTGCAGGTACCACGCCTTATATGCTTATAAATACACTCCTCCGGCTCACATCTCCTCTCATCTCTTATAAATTAATACAATAATTCCGTCAACGAGTAATAATTCTCGTAATCTTCTCAAATTTGATTTAGAAACTCGTGTGATTTTTCGTTATAAGTTAATTTTGTTATAATTTTTAATTATACTTATTGTTTATTATCATTATTTGAAAAAATATTATACTTATGGGGAGACATTCATCCGCAACTCCTTACGATATGTACTGAGGTGGGTCCACGAACAATACGTATGGCAACACCGCGTCCAGTTCAGGGAAAGACATTCATCTGCAAATCCCTTTGACCTTAATATGGAGATGCCATCAACGCAACCATCTGCATATCCGAGTTTATTGAGGGAGCGTGGTCGTCCAAAATCCAATCGAATTCATTGCGAATGGATATTCGAGAAAGATCTAGATAAGACAGAATATGTGGCCATTGTAGAAACCCAAGACACACTAGAAAAACATGTCCACTTCTGTTGTCATCTAGTAACAATTGATGAGGAAATGATGTATTTGTTTATCAAATAATAATTCTTGTATTTTAATTTGTATTTACTTCAAGTTAATGTCATTCGATAATCGCTGATGAAGATTAAGAAAACGAACACAATTATTAAATTTTATTAAACTAATAACAATTTGATATTTAAATACAACAAACTTACAATAAGAATTAAATGGTAAATGATAACAAAATTACAATAACTAATATTAAATGGTAATAAACAAAATTAACTAAAATATATTTAAAAAAAAGTCCAACAAGTTTAACAAAATAAAGTAAGTATTAAATGAGAAATAATAAAAATTTACAATTAAACAAATACATCATTTCCTCATCAATTGTGCAGCTGCAGTATGCATGCCCGTGCATACATCTTAACCTCATCCTCAGAGGCGTCTGCGCTCAACTCCCGAAAATTGGCATCTAACCAATTTAACGGTATCCTACATCCGATAAAATTTTTCGGGACACGTCCTAGACTATCCCGACACAAAGTAGTCCAAGAATCGGAAGTTATCCCCGATATCACATCTCCATCCACCGGAAGCCCAGGTGCATAGAAACATCCTCAAGCGTGATCGTGCACTCTCCGCACGGAAGATGGAATGTGTGGGTCTCCGGCCTCCACCGCTCTACTAAGACAGAAATCATGTTTGGCTCTATCTTACAGTGACTCTGATATCTACCTATGTAACTGAATCTAGCCTCTACTAAATACGACAAGACACGGCTGGGTATCACTAACTTAAGATTCCTAATAAAAGGATCTAATACACGGTCCTTCTCCTAAAAATAAATAATTACAAAAATTAATTCTTAATCTAATAATCATGCATTAAATAAATCAACTAATTATTACTAATAATTTAAATTAAATTAAAACGTTAAAATGTTACCGTATCAACAAAGTGTCGAGATATTAATTCTTAATCTAATAATCATGCATTAAATAAATCAACTAAATATTACTATTAATTTAAATTAAATTAAAACGTTAAAATGTTACCGTTTCAGCAAAGTGTAGAGATATATGATTTCCATCCGAGCGAAGTAGACTGCCTTCCATTATATATATGCAAAAGAATTATATTAGTAAAATATTAAATAAAGTAAAAACATAATAGTAAAAATATTATAAAATATACCTTAAAAAGAGAGTATTTGAGAGAAATTTAGAGAAATTGAGAGAACTTGGTGTGATAAAAGTGATTGAGGATGGGGGTATTTATAGGGAGGATGGGGACGTGAAGGGTTGGGCATTTAGGGGTATAGTGCGCCCCCTGCACCGCGCTATACCTCACGTGTCAGATATCCAGGTATAGCGCGGATCAGGGGGCGCGCTATACCCACGTGACGCCATATCACCGTATATCGCGGGGCAGGGGGCACGCTATACCCACGTGGCGCCAAATCAGCATATAACGCGGTGCAGGGGGCGCGCTTTCCTTCTAAGGGTGTTAGATCGGGAAATATAGTCTAACCGGTGTTAGAACGATAATAATACCGATCACCGGTGATATATCTGGAAAATCGCCTAAAAAAATCTGAGTTAAAAAATAGAGAATGGGTAGTTATAACGGTATATTTTGAACTTCTAGAGCATTTATAATTTAGTCACGTAAATTAAAAAAAATTCACTGAAGTCACAAATTTTTTTGAGCACTTACACTTTTATCATTGCAGTTACTGCTGACAAGATAATAATACGTGTTATAAATTTATGGGAAAAATTCACTATATAAATGATTCGCCGACTATAAAACAATATTTTATTAAATCATTTCACTTTTAAAAGTTATAAAATAGTTATTTGATTATAGGATGTTGGTTTATTGAGTCCCTCAACTATTACAATTTACAAAACTGTCATCCAACTATTTTATTTGTTTCAAATTTATCATTTTCCTTAAAAAATTTGATGACAATTGTATATCCAGACAATTACTATAATGTCTTTCTCTTTATGTTTCAGCTATCTTCATATCTTGTTGAATAAAAATAAAAGTTAAATATTTTGATTAAGTCGAGTCATGGATGAATTTTATCTCAGAATTAAGGACGAGTTCCAAATGGTGTATCACCAAACGTCAAAAAGGGTTAAAATCGTGTAGAAGCCTTCGATTTCCATTCCATGCCCATACTTAATTAAATCTTTTCAATTTAAAATTTCGATATTTATATAATTCACACAAAGGGATGAACATAAGTTGTGTTGGACTGGATTTTGGTTCACCCGAATCTAACTCATACATAACCCCTCTACTCATAACTAATCTGATTCGGGTTTAAGAATATTTCACCGGACACAAAATTTGATCCACATCCAAAAACGAGCCCATATATGTCATTCTTCTCGAATAAAACATAGACATAATTGAAAATACATAACAAAAGAGGGATTATAACAATTATCTTTAAATATATAAATATTAATTATACTATTATTTATGGGTCAAATTAAGACGAGTATTTGTTTCTCTAAATCTAAAATTGAATTTAAACAAAAATTAAATTTATAAAATTAGACTGAATTAAAATTCAAATTCGAGTCAAATGATCTCACGAAATTGTGAAATATATGTGATAGGTTACACATATATATGTTTACCTTTTACTAGGTTTTGTCTTTGTATTAGAAGGATAACACGCGATTATACATGTAATGTGTCGTATGCAAATAATTGCAAAAAGTGTTTTTTTTATTAATCTAATGCGTTTATTTTATTTTTTTGATACACAAAAGTTTAGGTTAAGAGTGACTCTTCCATTCCAGGATCAGGGGATACCTAAAACTCGATTGGGATTTACATAAGATTTTACAGATTGACCACCAAGAGTGACGGTGGTGGGATTCGAACTTGACCTTATAAGTTCAAATTCATAAATCACAACCACTTGTGACAACACTCGTTGGTATAATCTAATGCTTTTATAGAGTGATGGTATAACTCTTAAGATTTTTAATTGTTTAATAAGAATCTAATAATTTAT